GGCTTGAGTGGTTGGGATAAAAGGTGGACCAAATATATTGAGTTGAAAGGAGACTACGTTGAGAAATAAATTTTTTTCCACCCAAAAACATGTGTTTTTCTTAATTAGGCCGAGAACTTTTCAATTGACCCTCGTATAACTTTCAATAATTTATATAATTTAAAATTGTTTTTATAAATAAAATATACTTCTTTTAATAGTTGCCGCGTTGAATTTGACAACAAATGACAGAAAGGACCACTTTTTCCAACGTCGTTAACGTTAACCGACGATTTTAATTTGTTAATAGAATTGCTAACATGAAGAATAAAATATCTTCATTAAAGGTGATAAAAATTTTAAATCTTTCTTTTTTGATGATCATATTTCATTCATGTTAGCAATTCTATTAACAAATTGAAATCGTTGGTTAACGTTAACCGACATTGGAAAAAGTGGCCCAAAATCAAAGATATTTGATATTATAATTTTTCAGTTTTCAAAAAATAAAATCTCATTAAATTATTTTGCCTTAACAATAAAGCCTAGTATAAAAAAATTCCATTCTTTCAATTTATTTTTTTATAAGAAATCGCTTTGTTTTTTATGTCATCATGATTTTTGTCGCATTTTATATACATATATTGAACCATGATTATGTATAAAATATATATATATGTATGTGTATACGATGTGTAAATATATACGATTTTTTTTACAGTTACATAATTATGGGACTTGCGATACTGATTCTTCCATTTTTGCCAGCTAGTAATATCTTCTTCAATGTTGGATTCGTTTTGGCAGAGAGAATATTATACATTCCTTCAGCAGGATATTGTTTATTACTTGTTATTGGTTTGCAAAAATTTTCTGCGAGATTTTCTTTGCCTCAAGCATCATTGTTAGCATATATGATTCTTATTATATTATTGTTTGCACGTTCCTGGATAAGAAGTAATCAATGGAGAAACGAAGAACTACTTTTTCAATCTGCATTAGATGTATGTCCTTTAAATGCAAAAGTACATTATAATATCGCAAAAAAGGCTGCAGATGCAGGATATGTAGATCTTGCTAAATTAGAATATCAGGAAGCTTTACGGTATGTATAAAATATTAATATTCATTTTTTTCATCAATAACATTTATGCTCTCTCTTTTCATGCTGTAGATTAAATCCAAAATATGCTCAAGCTATGAACAATCTTGGTAATTTACTCAAAGATCAAGGACAGCTTTTAGAAGCTTTGAGTTTGTTTAAACAAGCTATCAATCTGCAGTAAGTGGAATATTATCACTTTATCAGATTTAAGTTCTTAAGTGTATATTATATGTATATACAAGGTGTAGAAAAAGTTCCGGAATAGCTTAATATTTTGAAAATTATATTTTAGAAAAATATATTTTAGACAAAAGTTATAGGATATGATGTGTTTTGTTCAATAGTTGTATCAGTTTTACCTTGGCAATCACCTTTGAAAGTCAAGTCAAGATCACATAAATTTTTTGACATGGAATCCCCTATTTTTTGTTACAGAATCTTAAAGCCGCTGTCAAGACTATTTTAATGGTATATGATATTAATATTTGATGGTAAATTATATTATCTGAACTATCAAAGTTAAGATACCACCGGCATAACGCAACCCAAATTGTCAAGTGCAACTTTGACTAGTGTATGTGTGTATATGTGTATGTCTATTTATTTATTTATTTTTGTGTGTGTGTGTGTGTGTGTGTGTGTGTGTGTGTGTGTGTGTGTGTGTGTGTGTGCGTGCGCGTGTGCATTTTTAGATTAGTTGTTCAAAGTATTGTCTTCCAATTCTCAGGCAATGGGCTAGTCCGTACTAAAAATTTGAGACTGCATTTCTACAATATGCTTTAGATGTACTATAATTTAGATAAGTAACTATAGTTTACGAGGCAAAACAAATATATAAAGCATATTGTAGGAATGCAGTCCCAGATTTTTACTATCGACTAGTCCATTGCCTGACAGTTATAAAATAATACTTTGAACAACTAAATACGCGCGCACGCGCACACACATACACAACAAACAAATACATACACCAGTCAGACAAATCGCACGTACTTAGTATAATTTGTTACGTTAGTTACGTTATGTCAGCGGTATCTTAACTTCCACAGTTTACAGATTACGTTATTTATTATTAAACATTAGTGTCATGTCATCGATAATAGTCTGATAGTGGCTTTAAGATTCTGCAACAAAAATAGGTTTTATTTCAAAAAATTCATGTGACCTTGACCTAACCTTCAGAATGATCAAGGTCAAAATGACACAACTATTGAATAAAACACATCAAATCTTACAATTTTTGTCTAAAACATTTTTTTTCTAAAATCTATCATTTTCAAAATATTATGCCGTTCCGAGTATTTTTCCTCTTACTCTGTATATGCATAATTTAAAACAACGTGTTTTTTATCTATAAGATTTTTATAAAACATACATTTTGAAATCGCTAAACACGAATCTTGTCAAAATTTTTAAAGTTAACATGGCATTTCCATCTTCTAATATAGAAGATGGAAATTTGAACAATAATTGTATTTTTTTATTAAAAACTTAATTTCTAAGTGTTTTTATGGTCTTCAAATTCAAAACCAATAAACAAATTTTAAAATTGAAAAGAATATATTTTATAAAAAATGTAAGATAAAATTTATTATATTTCTGAAATTTTAATTTATATATGTGTAAACATAATTTTAATTAAATGTCCAGAATTATTTTTAACTTTAATCACATTTTATTTTATTTATTTTTTTAAATTTTTATTATTGACTATTTTAATTCTATAGATCAGAGCTCGGAATTATTTCATCTTTTCGGCCGATTCTTCGT